TATCCCCCCAGGACCTGCTCCGGGCCGTCAGTGGGACCTTCATCTTCCTCGTGGTTGCCCTGGTGGCCTTGGCCTCGTCCCGGGACGCCCTGGCTGCCACCACCTTTGTGAGTGTCCCCAAACCCCCCCTCCCATGACCCTGCCCCCCCCCCCCCCCCTCCCCAGGGGGCCCCCTTCCCCTTTCCCCTCCCCCCAGACCTTCAGCCTCGTCCTCGCCTTCATCTTCGCCTTCGACGTCTTCGTCACCTACCGCACGCGGGTGGGGCCCGCGCTGGGACAGGGTGAGGGGACACCGGGGGACACGGGGTGGGGTGGGGTGGGGACACCCGGGTCACCCTTGGGTGGGGGACACCCAAATTCTCCTTTTCCGCCACCTCCAACCTCTTCCTCTTCCTCCTCTCCAGACCCCGACATGGAGGAGACCTGAAGGCCACCCCCCTTCATCCCCTGGTGTCCCATCGTCCCCTGGTGTCCCATCGTCCCCTGGTGTCCCGCCCCGACCCCCCCTCCCACCTCACAACCCTCCCCCCCAAACAAAACCCCCCCAAATGAAACCTCTTCCCACACCTGGTGCTGCTCCGGGTCGTGTTTTTGGGGTGGGGTGGGAGAGGGGACATTTTGTCCCTCTCCCGACCCGGTGGGTGGTCCCACGGGTCACTAATTAATTAATTAATGATGTCCTTGGGATCCCCTCGTCTTGGACGGGGGGGGGTGGGGTGGGGGGTGTCACTCGTGGGGTTGGTGGGTCCCTTGTGGTGGTGGTTCCTTCATGGGGGGTCACTCATGGTCATCATGGGGGTCCCTCGTGGTGGTGGTGGGTCCCTCATATCATGGTGGGGGTCCCTCATGGTGGTGGTGGTGGGTTCCCCATGGTGGAGGTGGGTCCCTTCTCATGGTGGGTCCCTCATGGTGGTGGTGGGTCCCTCACAACATGATGGGGGTCCCTCATGGTGGTGGTGGTGGGTTCCCCACGGTGGAGGTGGGTCCCTCATCATGATGGTGGGTCCCTTCTCATGGTGGGTCTTCTCATGGGGGGTCCCTCATCTTCATCATGATGGGGGTCCCTCGTGGTGGTGGTGGGTCCCTCATGGTGGAGGTGGGTCCCTCATCATGGTGGGTCCCTTGTGGTGGTGGTTCCTTCATGGGGGGTCCCTCATCATCATCATGGATCCCTCAGGGTGGTGGAAGTGGGTCCCTTCTCATGGTGGGTCCCTCATGGTGGAGGTGGGTCCCTCATATCATCATGGGTCCCTCATGGTGGTGGTGGTGGGTTCCCCATGGTGGTCGTGGGTTCCCCATGGTGGAGGTGGGTCCCTCATCATGGTGGGTCCCTCGTCATGGTGGGTCCCTCGTCATGGTGGGTCCCTCATGGTGGTGGTTCCTTCATGGGGGGTCCCTCATGGTGGTGGTGAGTCCCTCATATCATGGTGGGGGT